AGTTTTTGCCATGTTGAACTTGCTACGTGTCATTTTTGGTCATTTTTGCAGTAATTTAAGGTAGATTTATGTGTTTTAAGACACTTTTTTTCTATCATTTTGGGTAAGTTTTTGTCAATTTGGACACATTTTGAGTCACTTTGAGCATGAAACTTGTATATTTGTACAATCGCTCTGCTCTGCTCATCAGCTGTAGAAAGATGTTTCACCATGGAGAAAGATTGGATGGTTAAAGATACCATGGATGTATCTTTAACAACTGGCTCCTCTGTTCACCGTTTTTGAGCCACCCTGCATGTATTTGGTTGTTCCAATGGCTTTTACTTTCCCCTCATGATCATTTTGAATGAGTTCATACCAATTTGAACAGGTTAGGAGTCATTTTGGACATATTTTCAATCATTTTAGGGAAGTATTTTTGAGTTTTTGTCCATCTGGACCCATTTTTAGTCACTTTGAGCATGAAACTTGTTTATTTTTTACATCTTCTGCAAACCCAACTGTGCACATCACCATGTTTCACCATGCTGAATGTATCTCCAACAGCTTCCTTCTCTGCATTTATTTTATAGCTCAAATATGTTTTATTTTACTTTCGATGTCTCTTGGCGTCTCCTCTCTGCAGTTCAGCTGAAATATCTCTGAATTTCTGTCACGTGACCGATGGTGACAGCTGAGTCAGTCGTGGCTTTTCAGTTGTGCAGAATTTTTAGTTTTTTACAGAATATGCTACAAACAGTATATTTTCTGCGTATTTTTACAGGAGACGTGTCGGATAAAGTGATTTTGATGGAATGTCATGATTTTAAGCTTTTTTTCCCCTAATGGAAACACATGATACGTTCAAGGACGATTGGAAATCTGACGAGTCTTTCTGTTTGTGCAGTTTTTGGCTGATTATTGGTGTCATTTGGGGGATTTTTCTTCAGAGATTACATAAATTATCACAGATTGCAGATGGTTAAACCAAAACAAACCCGTCGCACCTCGAATGCTTTAAGTTTTGGGAAGCAGCTTTTTGTCCCCAAATGGGAGGTTAGCCTATGTGACGCTGTGAGCAGATATTTGTCTCCGAAATTTGAGCAGCAGCCGCCACACACATGCAAACCTCTGCAAATGTCTGCAGAGAAGACGAGTGTTAGACAACCTGTCTGAGCTTCTCCTCTTCACTCGCTGTCGCACACACCTCACTCTTCTTTTTTTTCCTTCCTTGCATCTCCGTTTTCTCTCTTCTTCTTCTTCTTCTTGCCTCGTCTCTCCCTGCGATTCTCCCTTTTTGACTCTCTCTCTCTCTCACTGGGGATCCTAATTAAGCTTGGCTGCTCTTTGATGTTGTCGCCTTGGCAACAGTCACCATGACGAGGCTGGGTCTGCACACTCTCAAACTCACTCAGGCATACACAAACACACACGAGTACAGTACACAGTCGCACACACACACACATGCATGCTCCGTGGCGCCATTAAAGAATACAGCCAGCGTTTGACCCTCGGTTCAGACGAGCTCTTACACAATGTCTCAGGTGTGTGCGTCGGCGACACGCGTATGATCGACGTGTACGCACACATGTAGCGACAGCAGAGACACGCACACGCCCCGCTGCGCCGCCGGATGCAGATAATGACGGATTCTGCGGCGTTGCAGAGTCCATAGGTGGTTTGAAGGGAGCGGCAGAGCTCCACTCTGCTCTGACGTTTGACCCGCCGCGCTGCTTGTTTTGTTTGCCCAAATAAATGTTTGTGTGGGCCCAAAAGCTCTCGAGATGAATCACGGGGTAAAGAGCGATTGTTAGCGAAGGCCTGGCGAGCCCGGCTGATTTACAGCAGGGGAGTTCCTCGCTCGCCTCCCCGTGCCTCGACCTTTCTGGTTAGTCTCCCGTCCTCTGCTTGTTGCTCTCTCTTTAACCTTTTCTGCCGCTGAAATAATCTCCTATTAAGACGTTTTCGCTCCAAATTGAGTCCTAACATTTTAGGAAAACATGCACTGTTGCCCTGCTGGGCTTCAAGCTCCTTTCAGTGCAGATGCTCGTGAAATATCTTCAGTTTCTTTTATTTTTGAGATGCATTTACCTTGTTTTGACAAAATATGTGCTTCTATTTTATTTGCTCCTGTTGCATTTTTACTCATTTCATCACTGCAACATAAAATCTTGCAGCTCAATGGAAACAGAGGAGCCATGACGAAGGAGAGAAAATGCAGAATGACACAGTTAGAATGACATAAATCATCTGAAAAAAACATCTGAAAGTTCAACTTCTTTGATTATTTATTTTGCAGGAAAAAAATCCAATAAATGGTGACTCGAAATATGAAATTTTACAACCTCTACAAGCACTACACTGCTCTGCTCATCAGCTGGAGAAAGATGTTCCACCATCAGATGTAGAAAGATGTTCCACCATCAGCTGAATGTATCATCCAACAACTGGCTCCTCTGTTCTCTGGTTCTGATCCATGCTGCATTTATTTTATTGATCCAGGAGGTTTATTTTGCATTCACTGTCAGTAATTCGTTTCCATACTTGTCTCTTGTCTCTTCTGTGTAAACACTGCCTGCAGTTCAACTGAAAAATCAGAGTTTTTGTGACGTCCTCCTGGCTGCAGCTGCTCCACTCGTGGCTTCATAGTTTTTTGTTTTTTACAGAATCCTGTTACTGCAGATGGTTTATTCTTGGCATCTTTTTAAACAAGACATGTGGAAAGAAGTGATTTTGCTGAAATATCACAATTTTAAGCTCAGCTTTGGCTGATTTTCCAGATGGAGCAGCACTTGACAGACGAGTCCATTGATTTTTCTCTGTTTTTGAGCTTTCTGGCTGCGACGGCTGGTGTCGTCGTGGCGAGTTCTTCAGAATAACACGCTTATCGAGCCCCCCGGCGTGTTTTGGAGTTCAGGGGGTTAAAAGGAGGGAAGCTTTTTTTTTTTTTCCTGCAGTGCCCTCCTTTCACCAATATTTCCTCGTTCCTATCTTTATCTCTTCATTTCCTCTGCACTTCATCCATCTCTTTCCACCTCCTTCCCCTCTCATCAGCACCTCCCTGCTCAGCCTCGGCTCCCGTCTGGAGGAGGGTCTTTGTAATGAAACCTGCTCTTAGCACTTCCTTATAACGACAGCTTTGGCGACAATATCAAGAGCAGCCACAGCAATTACGAACAACATGCAAAGAGGGAAAACTACAATTAAAGTAGCGTTGTTCAGCACGCACAACACCGTAGTGGCCTCTTTTTTTTTTCCCACTAAAATATAAATATTTTGATTGTGATAATCAGAAACCTGTTTTTCTTAAGAGCCGCGGCTCGGCATGACTCAGCATCTCTGGTTTAATTTTAGTAAGACAAGAGGTTTGCAGGTTATATGAAAATGAGCCAAAGCACTGTGGAGACTGAATACATTACTGATTAAATGGATGGTGTTTTACATCTCGCAGAAAGACATTTACTCTGAATTGCTGCTGCTTTCTTTAATCATCGCATCAGTCAGCTGTAGTGATGAGAGGCCGGTGCCAGCGGAGGATCATGATGAAAAGTTTTTTTGTTTTTTCTCCCTCGCGTCGCATTAAAAGAACTCCTTCCCTCACTCGACTCTCCTCGTGTCCTTCCTGTCTCCCCGCAGCTGTTCGTCATCGACAACGGAGCCGACGACTGGCGCATCGCCATGACGATGGAGAGGGTTCTGCTGATCGCTCTGGAGCTGCTGGTGTCCGCCGTGCACCCGGTGCCCGGAGACTTCAAGTTCCAGTGGCGGGCTCGGCTGGCCTTCTCCTACGCGCCCTCGCAGGCCGAGGCCGACCTGGACATGGTGCTGAGCGTGCCCATGTTCCTGCGCCTCTACCTCATCGCCAGGGTCATGCTCCTGCACAGCAAACTCTTCACCGACGCCTCCTCCAGGAGTATAGGTGCCCTAAATAAGGTCAGAAGCCATTTGTTGCTCGCAGGTGTGTGTTTGTGTGTGTTTGTGCGTTCAAGCTGTGTGAAAAGAGTTGTAAAGGTATTAAGGTCAAGAGCTCTCTCCTCTGAATCCAATCTGTGTCCGTGCTGTCCCTATTTATACCTGCCCTCTATCTCTTTAGCCATCAACTGCTTCCTTCCAACTCTCCTCTCCAGTTCAAATCCCTGCTCTCTCCCTTTTGTCGTCACATAGAGACTTAGATGTAAGCTACGGCGGATCTCTCATAATACAATACGAGATGGGAGCGTGAAATGGGAACAAGATATTGCATACGGCTCAAATGGGCCGTGAAAAGGGAAAAAAATGAGGGAATGAGATTGCAATATGAGCGCGGTGAAATGTGTACGAGTCGCGCAGTAAGTGATCGGTTGGCAAACGATAAACATTACCGTAAGACCGGGAGACGCCGCGCGCTCCGGAAAATATGCAAAGTACGCGGGGGGAGGAAGAGGAGGAGGAGGAGGAGGGGCGGCGGGAGAGATGGAGCAGATTTCAGATGAGTAATTTAGTAGGTTAGGAGTGTATCTGCGGTGGCACTCTGCTGACCCTCGGGCGAGAGGAGGTGAAGCTGACGACTCATTCATCAGCCGCTCGCACCCTTCCAGCGCTCAACCGCCAAATGATCCGAGAGATGATGGTTGGGCCTCTTATTGACAAATGAGCCACGGATAAAGGAAAAAAAAAAAAAAAGTGCACCGAAATGGGCCAATTACTCAAAGACACTGTACGGCCCGACCCGGAGTCAGAGGGCGAGCCCCGATCTCGACTCCAATTACGGTGGAGATTCTCCGAGTGCCGCCACCATCAGAAGCTACTCGCAAGACTAATTAGCAGAACATCAAGTCGAGGCAGGTTTGAGAGAAAACACAATGTGTGAGCTCACTGTGTGTGTGTGTGTGTGTGTGTTTCAGGTCCATTTCAACACACGCTTTGTAATGAAAACCCTCATGACCATCTGCCCCGGGACGGTGCTGCTGGTCTTCAGCATCTCTCTGTGGATCATCGCTGCCTGGACCGTGCGAGTGTGCGAGAGGTCAGTGATGACGTCGTGCCACTTGTTTTTTTTTTCCGTGTGCTGGACCGTGATTGGACGGGCACGTTGAATTCAATTGGCAGGAAATATAATCTGGGACATCTGCGCAACATAATCCGTCTTTAGACTTCAGTTTATGAGGCTTTTGTAACTCGATTCGGAGTTGTTACTTCGTTCGTCAGTTTTCTCCAACAGGAAATAATATCAGCACATTAGTGTTGGAGAAAACTTTCATTAGCAGCTTTTCTCAGCAGTAAACACAAAGTTAATTAATAGCATGCTATAAGGTGGTTTGAAAGGAATACAGGGACATTACTGTAATGCATTCATAACATAAGCAGACAAAGGAAGGATTGGAAAAGGAATCCAACATTATTGTAATCACAGTGCAGCACATAATGAACAATCGCCTGAGCTTCACAAGATGGAAATAGATTAGGACAGCAGTAAAAAAATTTAAAGATATTTTATAGTTCGACTTCTGACTTTGAACTCTGTATTCTGAAGAAAAGAAAAATCTGAATTCTGACTTTACACTCAAAAATCTGAAGTCAAACTCAGAAATCTCACCTCAAGCTCTGAATCCTGATGTTAAACTTTGATTCCTGACTCATTTTATGATCTGACTTTAAGATTTTAAGTCTAAAGGGGCAAAAAGTTCTTACTATAAACTTGAAATCTGTATTTAAACTTTAAGTGTTTACTTAAAACTAAAAATTTTGAATATAGTAGCTAAGCCCAATGCTTAAAGCTACCTTGACGGGCAACTGAAGGCTTAGTGACTGACGCGCTCACTACCAACATCGGTACTGTGATTTGTATTAAACAATGTTCGACTTCGAGGATAGTG